GGTGTCCCTCACGGCCTGGCCAGGGTTTGGGGTGTGGCCCAGGGGGGACGATTGTCCGGGAACGCCCCCTTCTGCGTGTCGTTGACCAGGAAGGGGGGGGGACAATCTTTCGACTTGGGAGTTCTTTTTCTGTTCCCAACTTTTGTATTTCTGACAACTTAGCTGCAGAGCGAATAAGAGAAAAGGTGCTGCTTACTCTTTGGTCTCCCGCCCCCGGGGTTAAAGAGTAACACACCTGAACTTTCTTATTGAATAGTTTTTCGGCTTCCCCGCCGCTCCCACCACCAGTCGAACCACTTGGAAGGAAGAGACAAATTTCCAAAAAACCAGCGAGGAGAAAAAAGAAACGCTGGTGTCCCTCAGGGCCTGGCCAGGGCTTGGGGTGTGGCCCACCTGGTCAGGGGGGGACGATTGTCCGGGAACGCCCCCGTCTGTGTGTTGTTGACCAGGAAGGGGGGGGGGGACAATCTTTCGACTTGGGAGTTCTTTTTTCTGTTCCCAACTTTTGTATTTCTGACAACTTAGCTGCAGAGCGAATAAGAGAAAAGGTGCTGCTTACTCTTCATATGTAGATATATGTGTAAATATATATATATATTGTAATTTTGCAAGACAAGTGCCAGTCAGTCGTCATGTTCTTTGGGCTGCCTGAGTGTTCTGTTGAGTGTGTGTCAACTTCTGAGGTGTTCCAACTCTTGTTCATGGTGACGTCACACAGGGTTAGTTTTTTTGTTCCCTTCGCGTAAGTCTTCTGCAGCTTCTGGAGCTTTTGGCATTGCGTTTGGCGCGTTTGGACGGCGAGGCTTCACAGTTGGTGTCGCAAACATCCGCGATTAACGCTGATGCAAGTGCCTCCTTGTCAACGCTCAGGCAAGCTCAGTAGGTTTTTATATACGTTTTCATTCTTTTCCTAGTTTCAGGGAGTTCCACCTCTCCCCTTAATTCATGTCAGTCTTGGAAGGAATGAGAGCAAGCATGAGCAAGCATACAAGAACGCTAGTTAAAGGCCTTGCTTGTGCCAACCCTATTCCTTGAGTGCTGGTTTTGCTGGCATCGCATGTCGAGCCAATTTTTGTTCAAGGACTCTTTATGTCTTGCGCACCAGTATACTGCATAACTGCAAAATTAGATTGTTTAGATAGTGATAGATAGTGTGTATTCTCTAATTTCCTATGTTAGTTGAATACTATAGACAGTTACAAGCCATGTATGTAATGAACTATATAGCTATTGCTTGAAGTTTTTCTCTGAAGGAAACAAGAGGGGGCTTCCTGTCCAAACTTGTTGGGTCGTCAGGCAGGAGATGCTGGTTCAAGGCGTTGACGGTGGCTATGCAGAAATTTGCTCTACCTTGCTCGACGGTTTTAGAAATGCCAGGCACATTCAACATTCATGACCTGTGGACCCCCAAGACCCGCAGAGTTTCCGAACAGTCCAATTTTTCAAGTACACCTCAATTTACTTCATGACATTTCATTTCTCATTTTCGGTTGCAATGAAGTAAATTGGTCTATTTCTTTGCTACTGAGGTGCGTCGGTGAATTCCATGGTCCTTCTGTCGCACTCGTCAAGGCCTCAGAAGATCAGCTATTGAGGGCCACGGTGTTCAGACGTTTTCAGTGTGGAAGGTGGTTTGCTTCGCCATGCTTTGCCTTCCGCAACACAAGGTCTAACACCACTGATGACTGTGATCCTTTGCCAGGCCTGGTCCGCTACAAAAGCACAGATCCAAAAGAGACAGCTTTCAAAGCACAGCACTGCTTGCACATCCATGGGTTCCTTTGCAGGTTGCATACTTCACAGCTCCCCAAAGAAACACAGAGTGACTTTCTGGAGTTCAAAGACGTGGTGGAGAAGAAGCTTTTGATTGCTTCAGGTGTAGTTTTGATTTCCGCCAAATGCGGTTGCGTGGTAGTATTGCCCACTGGGGATGATACATTACAATACAATTCTTTCTCTCAAAGTCCCTTAAGCAAGTCAGGAACCAAGTGGCCGCAGCTGGTGCTCCTGCCACCGTGCCCACTGGCGACAAGATTGGCGTCGCCGCAAAGGCTCTTTCAGATGCATCCTACCCCTTCTTGAAAGAGGTGCAGGGCTACTAAGAATCATTTGAGGGTGGTTGCGCTCGATCAATATTTGTGGAAGATCGTTGTTGAATGGCGGTGCCATCTCTATATTCTCCATTGTTTTTGTTCCCCAAACAGTTTACTGTTGGGGTTCTATCTTAGAAAAAAAGAGCTGGCCACACTCACTGGCCGCGCCCCTGAACTCTGTGGCTGGGCTCTGTGTCCAGGAGGGTCCAGTCATACTTGCAGCGCTTGGGAGCGCGTCCCAGCTTTAAAGACTGAAGGACTATCAAGCTACCCTATAGAAGAGGAATAGTTCCGAGTGGCTTGGAATTGTTCCCCAAACAGTTTACTGCTTGGGTTGTGTCTTGGGAAAGCAGGAGCTGCCGCCCCTCTTGTCCTCCTCTCTGTTGTCCTCCTCTTGTCGTCCTCTTGTCCTCCTCTCCTCCTTCTCTTGTCCTTCTCTAGTCCTGTTGTCATCCTCTGGCTGCCTTTTGTCCTTCTCTTCTCCTCCTCTTGTCCTTCTCTTGTCCTCCTCTTGTCCTCCTCTTGTCCTCCTCTTGTCCTGCTCTTGTTCTCTTCTTGTCCTTTTCTTGTCCTCCTCTTCTTGTCGTCCTCCTGTCCTCCCCATTTATTACGGTACCAATCATCCCAATTTGATCCGCAATGTTTCTTGACATCTCTTTCGCGATCCCACGACCACCACGAAGAATATTACCTCCACCACACACGATTGCGATTTTTTGATCTTGCGCACGAGCGGAAAGGACGGAAATAATTTCAGGGATCCGAGAAGGGAAAAAT